CTTTTTTTTTTTGTCAACAAATCATACACAATTGTTGGGGAGTATACAGAACGTACAGTTATCAAGGAGTTATTGGTTATTTTATTATGATAAATACTTCAAATTCTGGCCTCCACTACTTGCATAGCATTATATTTTTGTAGGTTTTCTAAGATATTTCACATCTTCTATACATAAATTATTTTTAAGTGCCGTTCTATAAAATGCAAATTTTAAAAAGATGTAAGCAGAAAGGAAAGATCTAATGAAATAATAACATTTTATCTCTGACACAAAGAAATTGACCCACTTAAAAATTGTGTCTTTTTCCCCCATATACCTGCCTGGTACGTTGCCTGACAAGTCATAAGAACAGTGGTAATGGGTTGGATCAAAGTATTCTTTTCCCCCAAATTTGGCCAACAGCAGAGTTCCAGAGAAAGGAGTACAGGCACGTGTTGAGGAGCTGTTCTTCACCAACACCCCTGCAGAGCTCAGGAACTTCTTGAGCTGGAACGGGTGTATCTGTTGTGTAAGCACTGCTGGTGTTACTGCAGCTCATAACTGTAATCCATGGTAAATGTAATTTCCCCCAAAAGTCCACATCTTGGATGTGTTGGCGCTATAAATAACTGTGGGGTAACGTTGGGCCAGAATGGTTCCAACCCTAGTTCAAGAGAACTTTAGTCTTCCTTTACAGGTGGCTTCTCTGTTGATCTCCTTAGCCACAAAGGTTTCAAAGAGCTCCCGCCTGACTACGCTGAACAAAAGTATTTACTTTATAGAGAAATTTGAATGCTTAAGAGCTCATTCCTTATAAAGGTGAGATTCCCAAGTTACGAGTCAGTTTGTAAAGTATAAGCAAATGAGACAGAGCACAAACTATAAAAGATTAAACAAAACTGGAAAAATGAGGTGTACGCTATTCCTGTCCCACATGAATTAGGAATACATCTCCTACGCTGCAGATATGTTCCGAGTTGCATTTATGTATTAGCTTCACAAAATTGTGTATCCGTGTCTGTATGACTGTTTAGATGCATTTTAAGAGCTTATTTTTTATAACTTTTGTAAAGAGGTGAAGTTTTTTCATTCGCATTCCTTAACAATTTTATGTTTACTCTCCAGTTTGTGGCTACCAGAATGTATAGTTGCTCTTGTGCAAACCCGCCGCCTTGAATTTTGTGTCTCTTATGTACATTATATAAGCATTGTGTGATATTGTATTCAGTGGCACAGATTTTATTGTATACTGAAGCACAGACAACAGGGAAGCTAACTGGAAATGGGTACCTTGTGGCTCATGCAGTACTGTCAAGGCACTTGTGGAGGCAGCAAGAGAGACTGGTTCAAGTTCTTCATCAGGAACTCCCACGTAATGAATCACCTGTTGCATCAGAAGGCCTTTAATTTAATAGTAATAATTTTAAATTAAAAAAAAAAAAAAAAGTCAGATTTTTTTCTAATGAGAATTACAGAATGAATGACCGTTGTACCATGCCAGAGGTCAGGAGTTGAGGCTGAAAGGTGGGATACAGGGGAATATGAAAGAGGTGAAAATGTACGTGTGCTAATAGTTGGGTTTCTAGTTGACAGTAGGCAGGAACTCCCGTGCACAGTGGCATTCTGTACACACGCTCAGACACTCCTGTAACTTGTTGTACAGCTACATTCTTCAGATGTTTGGGCAGTGTGGTCTGAAGAAAAGAAAAAAGGCACCACCACCACCACCCCAAAAAGCTGGGGGGG